GCAGATAGGCGGTGACCCACTGCTGGATTGTGGGAGTGCGTAGAGGACCAGGCAGAGCAGCTCGGCAGCCACTGCTGAGCAGAGAGGCCCTGGGAGCCTGCATTGTGCCACAGCCCAGCTGGTTAGGGTGGCAGCAAGTCTGGGTCAGGACACAACTCAAAGTCCGGTCCGAGCAGAACCCGAACCACCCTCTCCCCATGACCTTGTGGGCTCAAAGCTGGAACTGCTCCACACCTCTCTGGTGAGCATTTGAATTCAAGAGCAGACAAGGGTGAGTGAATCACTTTCAAGAGTCTGACCTTCAGCTTGCTTCTTCATGGAAGCACTTTAAGCACATTGGGTTATCTGTGCTTTAGCAAAGGAGGCTTCCCGGGGTGACACCAGCAGCGGGGCATTTGGAAGGAGAGAGACAATGACTTCAGGGCAGCAGGCATCTCCCTGTGCAGATCGCCCCTGGACGTGCTTGTCAGGCCTCGCTCCCTGGCAGTGAACAGGCCGGGCGGAGCGGGGAAACCTGGTCTGGTGCGGGGGAGCTTCTGCCAGCGTGAGACCCACCCTCCGCCTCTTGTCTCTCACCGTTACCTTTTCCCTGTTCTGTTGCTGATTGTTTTGCAGATGGTGACCAGCCCTGGGCCTACCCACGCTCTTGCTTTAGGTCTTTCCATCACTTTGAAAGTGGGAGCAGGACATTTTGTTCTCCCAAAACCAATAGTGGAGCAGTGTCAATACCAGCCTCTGGTCCCTCCCAGAGGCACCATATCAGAAGTTCTCTACAGAATGGCCCTCACCTCTATAGGAGAACAGTGCCTCTCTCGGCTGTTAAATGCCTGGAGATTCCATCTTGCATGAGGACAGTCTCAGGTGTCTGTGATTCCTGAGCTCATGATCACGCAGAGTATTTCATTCTCCTCAGCAGCACTTCGCAATTGAAGTAAAGTGTTCAGGTACACACTGGCAGTTGTACTAGAATAAAAGAATTCTGCAAGGCAGAAATTGACAGACAAGTGAAAATATTCTTTGAACCAGTAGGGCTTTATTTCTTTGAGATCTTGCTCACAATTGATTTGACTGACTCAAAGTGACTCATTCTCATTTTGTGAATGAAAGAAGTCCCTCAATTAAAATGTAAATACATTTTAAATTGGCTCTAACAATAACTTGAATGTTCTGGTGTTTTAAAAAGAAGAAAAGCAGAGGAGCTAGGCTTTAGGAATGCAGTTCTCCTGAGAACTGCTGAACTCCAATTAGATGGGCGGGTCCAGTGGACACTTGGATGAGCAGATTACCCCGCTGTCTTTCCTGTCCTTAAAGGCTCCTTGCGTGTGTTTGCTCACAAGACCCACGCAAAATAACGCCATGAAAGTCCCACCTCTCTCCCACTGAGATTTTCTGTGACTGTGGCTCTCAGATGAGTCCCTGCAGGCATCTTGCTTCAGTATTTGGCTCTTTTACCTAAAAAGGCCAACTAACGCTACCGACCCTGCTTATTTTTTTTCAAGGACACTGAGAAATAGGACTTAGTCAAGGTGAAAGTAACTGTTCCAAGTGCAAAGAAGGAAAGATATTCTAGGTTCCATAGGTGATTTGGGTTGATTTTTAGCTTTTCTGTTTTCTATGTTTATTTTTAGCAAAGTCAAGTGTAATTAGGCAAGAAGGCTGTTAAAAACCCTGTGATGTGTAGCTTCAGAAGGACTGAACAAATAGTTAAGAATTTAAGATCAGATAAAAGGATATTCTCCCGTCACTGCCTTAAAAATGTAGCTTGGACCAGTTTTCCCTTGTGTTTATGGCCTTTTTGAAAATGAAGTAGGGTGGGCTAGTGTGGGCGGATGGTGGGGGGCTGCACAGGAAGAGACCTCTCATCGAGACCCTCGAGGTGAAGGGCTGCAAAATGCAGCTGCAGACCTGATCCCGCTCCTTGCCTGTTTCTCCTTGCCTGTTTCGTAAATAAAAGTTTTACTGGAATAACCACGCCCATTTGTTCCTTGTCCCTGGATGCTTTCATTTGACAGATTTGAATACTTGGGACAGAGACTGTATGTCCTAAAAAGCCTAAAATATTTTAATGTCTGGCCTTTTATAGGAAAAAATTCACCCACTGCTACTCTAGGTCCATAATGCCAACTTGAGATGAAATTTCAACTGCACCCAGTTGTCCTTGTGGGTGCAGATCAGTGTTCCTACTCTGACTAGGTGTCCTAGAAAGTGAAAGTGTTAGCCAGTCATATCCACTCTTTGCGATCCCACTGACTGTAGCCTCTGTCCACAGAATTCTCCAGGCAAGAATACTGGAGGGGGTAGCCATTCCCTTCTCCAAGGGATCTTCCCAACCCAGGGATTGAACCCAGGTCTCCCATACTGCAGGCAGATCCTTTCTAGTCTGAGCCCCCAGGGAAGCCTGGATGCACTGTAACTTAGCTCTTTTCAGAAAGATGTTAGCCTCAGCCCAGGACTTCCCTGATAACTCAGCTGGTTAAGAATCCGCCTACAGTGCAAGAGACCCTGGTTCGATTCCTGGTTTGGGAAGATCCCCCGGAGAAGGGAAAGGATACCTGCTCCAGTATTCTGGCCTGGAGAATTCTGTTAACTGTGTAGTCCTTGGAGTTGTGAAGAGCTGGACACGACTGAGTGACTTTCACTTTCACCTGACTCATGGACCCCTGTTCCCATGACAGTGGGTCTGGGGAACTACACACAACATGCTTCTCTCAGACTGACCTAGTCTTATTTTTGACAGTTCTAAGTAAACAGATGGTAGTTGATGATAGCTGACATCAACAGGTGATAGAAAGTTTTAAATCCAAGAGCTGTTTCATTATCAGCATTTTAAAATAAATCTCAGTTTTACTCCAGGCACCTCCTAACGTGTTCTGCCATAGCAAGAGCTCCCTTTATTCCAGTATTTTGACATTCTACCATCTAGAGCCTTAGTGCTTCAGGCAGGGTGAAAGTGAAAGTGTTAGTTACTCAAGCATGTCCGACTCTTTGCAACCCCATGGACTGTAGCCCTCCAGACAAGGATACTGGAGTGGGTTGCCATTTCCTTCTCCAGGGGATCTTCCTGACCCAAGAATTGAACCCGGGTCTCCTGATTTGGAGGGAAATCACTCAGATTGTTTTCTTAAAGAACCACGTGTCTGAGGAAAAAATATAATTCTACAGATTAATTTCACTGCCCTGTGGTCTAGAGCTCACAGCAGCTGGGAATGTAATTGAACAATAGGCCCTTGCTAAAGTAGCTAATGTTTGGCAAGAATAGGCCAAGGGAAATAGACTGTATCCCATGAAGCAGTCTGACAGCTGTCCCGGAGGATAGTATTCTAGTGAAAGTGTAACATTAGTTAATTCAGGGGATGTTAAGAGTCTGATCTGCTGTGTTCTTGGAAATGCCATGGCACATTGCAGAGAGCCGACTGGAGCCCCGCTCCGGCCAGCTGAGTAACTCAGTCAAGCCCTGGGTTTTGCTTTTTGCCTCTGCAGACTTGCTCAGGTGTGCTTCTGAACACCAGTGCCCACATTGTGGAACAAAGAGGAAAGTGTGGCCTGGGGATGGTGTATCCCTGCCATCTAACTGACTGACGTTGGACAAGCTGCACCTGGGCCTCATTGTAAGGCCCTGCCTTACAATGATACTGATATGGTGATACTGATTCAGTGATACTGCCTGCCTCCCGAGATGGTTGAGTGAAGATGACAGGTGACAGATGTGAGGGCTCGCCAGTCTAGACGCTGCTCAGGTCTTTAGAAATTCTTCAGGAACGTGTGTGGTCTGCTCGCGTCCCTGTTCGTGAGAAGACAGATGAGACTGTCAGCTTGCATTCAGGGCTGAGAGTCTTGCTTTTGTGACACAGGCCGGGAGCAGGGATCAGAACGGGACAGGGAGGAAGGGAGCGAGAAAAGGAAGAAGAAGGGGAGTGACTCCGGGCATCCCTAACATCGCCCACTGGCATCGTGGAAAACTTGTTTTGAGCAGAAAGGACTTGGTCTGGAGCCAGGGTGGACCTCCTCTCTGTGAGGCATCTCCAGGACCCTGCTCCATCCACTTCCAGTGGTTCCTCTCTGAGTGTCTCCAGGACACTCAGCAAGCCTCCTCCTGCCTGAGACTCACCTCCCCTTCCTGCACCCCAGCCTCTGAGGCCTCCCCATCTCCCACCCCAGCCCTACCCATGGGAACCACCAAGCTCCCAAGTACCGACTGAGCCACCACCGTCTGCCAGGGACTCGACACACCTGGTCAGGGGACAGGGGCCCTTCCCTAGAACGGGGGGGCTGGGATGGAGCGGGGAGGTGAGGAGCAGCCCCAGGCCCAAGAGGGAAGGACACCCCTACCCAGGGGAGGACGGAACAATCCACTGGGAGTGGCCTTGAAAGGACACAGCAGACACCAGAGCTGGAGAGGCCCACAGCAGGGTGCACCGTGGTTCAGAAAGGACGGGGAGCAGGCGACACGGGGCTCCTGGAGAGGGGTGTCAGCGTGGCCCTGAAAGGTGAGCAGGCAGGAGCCCAGGGTCTCCAGGCAGATAGAAAGCGCAAGGAAAGATGTGGTCAGGACAGTGGGCCTACAACCAACTCAAGCAAATGGTTCCATTTTTCAGGAATGTGGGACTTCTCCCCCAGGGCTGGGTGGGAGGAATGTGTGGACCAGCTGCTTGGATGCCCATGAGGGCCCAGCTGGGGGCCAGCTCATCAGAGAGCCGGGCAGCAGCTCCCACCAGCTGCTCCAGGTGGCAGCTGACATCTGCTCTGACAGAGGGGTGAAGAGGAAAGAGCAGAAGCTCCTGACCCGCTGGCCAGTGAGACTGTCCACTGTGGCCAGGCCAGCGCATTGCCTCTGAGGGGAGTTCAGGTCTGGTGGAGAAAACCGCAGCCTGGCCATCTCCCCGCTCCCATGTTAGTCCTGCGGTCTAGTCGTAGAGCGTGTGTGCGTGTGTGCAAGTTGCTTCAGTCGTGTCTGACTGTTTGTGACCCTATGGACTGTAGCCTGCCAGGCTCCTCTGTCCATGCAGTTCTCCAGGCAAAAATACTGGAGTGGGATGTCATGCCTTTCTCCAGAGGATCTTCCCGAGCTAGGGATTGAGCCTGTGTCTCTTACGTTTCCTGCCCTGGAAGGAAGGTTCTTTACCACTAGCACCACCCGGGAAGCCCTGACAGCAGCCAGAGTGATGTTTCAGACACAAGATTCTCATCAAATGCTGCTCTGGCCACATCTCTCCAGTGGCTCCCAACACTTAAAAGTCAAAGCTCTTGCCACGCTTGTCTGTAAGGGAGGCCCTGCATTATCTAAGGGCTTCCCGGGTGGCGCAGAGGTCAAGAATCCGCCTGCCGGTGAGGAGACACAAGAGACACGTTTCGATCCCTGGGTCAGGAAGACCCCTGGAAGAGGGCACGGCAACCCACTCCAGTATTCTTGCCTGCAGAGTCCCATGGACAGAGGAGCCTGGCGGGGTGCAGTCCACGGGGTCACAGACGAGTCGGGGGCGTAAGTGAGGGAGCGGGCAGTGGCAGCCGCTGTGTTGTCTAGCCCGCCCACTCGCCTCTGTCCGTGCCTCTGGCCTTGGAACATGCTGATCCACTCCGCTTCAACACTTGTGCACTGGCTGTGCCCTTTGCCCGGAGCTCGCTCTCCCTGCCGCTCACAGGGCTCACTCTTCCCTCCCCAAGACCTCTGCTCAGATGTCACCTCAACCTCAGCCGGGCCCCTCTGATCTCCTCTTACAAGCAAGGTCCCATACTCCACTAGCCCTGATCCTGCTTAACTCTTTCCAGAACCCCTGGCTTCCTCATGAGATTGTAGGCTCCGTGAAGGCAGGGCTAGGTCAGCCTTGTGCTTTCCTGAACCCTCAGATCCCAGCAGAGGGTCAAGCACAAGAAAGCCCTTGATAAATAAATGAGGAGTGAAAGGATGCGTGGAAAAGGGGGGCTGGGGGGTGGAAGAGAAGCAGGAGGGCTGGGCTGTCCCTGTGAGAGGTGGCAGGGAGCGTCTCCTCTGAGGGGCCCCTGAGACCTGCTTCCTGTCCTCCCCTACCCCACCCATCATCTAAGATACTGCCTGGGTCTCTGTCCCGGGTCCCCTGTCCAGGAGCCCATGCGTCTTGGTGGCACCTGATCCGTGTCCAGGAAGGGCCTCGAGAGGTTTGCAGAGTCATCTTGGCTGTCAGGTCCGCGACTCACCTTCCAGGCAGGGGCTGGCCCGCCCTGCCTGGCTTCCGGCAAAAGCAGGTGGAGGCGCGGTGCCCTTGCAGGAAACCCACGCCCATCAAAATCTCCTTTCCTGTGAATGAGCCTTTGCTCAGTATGAACATGTGCCGAACCTCCATCACTGTTGCTATCATCCCTGAGGAAAGGATGCGGAGGCCCCAGGCTCAGTCTTCCAGGAGCCTGAGAAATGACAGAGCATAGAGGGCAGAGTGGGCCACCGGGGGAGAAAGGTCAGGATACCAGAGGGTGGGTCCTGGGAGCCCCTGCCTTCGCAGCAGGAAGCCGGTCTGGATGGCTTATTTATTACCGTCCCTGCCTTGGGGCAGTAGTCATGTACGGATATGAGAGTTGGACTGTAAAGAAATCTGAGCATGAAAGAATTGATGCTGTTGAACTGTGGTGTTGGAGAAGACTCATGAGAGTCCCTTGGACTGCAGGGAGATCCAACCTGTCCATCCTGAAGGAAATCAGTCCTGAATATTCATTTGAAGGACTGATGCTGAAGCTGAAGCTCCAGTGCTTTGGCCACCTGATGCAAAGAACCGCCTCATTGGAAAAGACTGTGATGCTGGGAAAGATTGAAGGTGGGAGAAGGGGATGACAGAGGATGAGGTGGTTGGACGGCATCACCGACTCAATGGACATGAGTTTGAGTAAGCTCCAGGTGTTAGTGATGGACAGGGAGTCCATGGCGTTGCAAAGAGTCAGACACGACTGAGCAACTGAACTGAACTGAACTGCCTCGGGGCAGGGGGTGAGGCAGGTGGGGACGATGAAGAGGGCTGCTTTCTGGAGGCAGAGGCAGAAGCACGCCAGCCTCGCTGCTCTTCCAGGAGCACAAGCTGGAGATAGCAGTTCCGCTCACCCCAGCCTTGTCCGGAGCCCCATTGCAGTGCTGTCATCAAGATGCTTTGGGAGAAGACACGTGAAAAGGGGGATGTTTCTCAGAAATGCCATGTGCAATGCGCTCTCTCCTGCGACTCCACAAATCTTTAATAAAAGTAGGAAATTCACCTTGTGGCTGATGCGTCGAGGCTTTTGGGAGAAGTCAGGGAGGAGGCTGGATGTGAGTGGAGGCTGGCACAGTTCTGAGACGGCCTTGGCCCACAAGACGGGAACAGGCTCACACTAAAGTCCCTAGGGAAGGGCCTGGACTGGCTCGGACAGCCTTCTGAGACCGGCCTGGCACCAGCCTGGTCCTCACCCCTAGGGCACCAGAGGCCTTCCCATCTGACTGGGCCCTGGGGTGGCCCCCACATTCTGCAGTGTTCCAGAAAGTTTACCAACCGGTGTTGGGCAATCGTGTTCCAAAAGTTTCCATTTTCCCCTGGCACCTGCAGCAGGACAAGCCTCCTCACACATCTTTTTCTCATCATATTTCATTTCCTTTAGCAAATGCACACGGTATCTTATTTAAATGTGATTATCTGAAAACTTACTAACTGAAGGGTAGTTACTAACTGAATAGTATCTCTACTGTGGTTGATGAATACAGGAAAAACAAACAAAAGCACTTTTGAGAGAGGAAAATGATGTTCATTGCTTTTTCTTCTCTGAAATCTGTAGATAACCAAGATGCAATCTGTCCAGGAAAGCCGGTACTTCACTCTGTACTGTGGGGAGTGAGGGAAGCGGGGAGGGGGGCGCAGGCAAAGCAGGCAGAATGACCCCTAAGCGCTGTCACCTGGCACCTAGGTGTGCTGGCTCTGCCCACTCTGTCCCTCTCAGCAGCTCTTTGAGCCCCCTGAGCTGCTCCTCCATGGACTCTTGGCCCTGTCCCCAGACTCCCCACCCCACGTCTGACTCCTGGTTCTGCCTTTGCTAGTTCTGTTATCCCTGACCAGCGAATCTAGTATCCCCACGCCTCAGTTTCCTCATCTGTACAACGGGTTCGATGATAGTCCTTCCCTCGTTAAGTTGAAAAGCTCTTGGGACACAGCTTGGCAGGATGAATACTGATGAATATTGGCTCTCATTTCTGGTGCTGTCTCGGGGGAGACGGTTGTTGGTAAGAGACTGGAGGCCCCTCTGCTCCAGAGGGAAGCTGCATGCTTTCCTGGGGGTTCTGAGAAGACTCACCTCTGCCCCTCTGCGTTCTCCCCACAAAGAGCCCAGTGAGGATCAGAACATCCCTAACATTCTGATTAATGATCCTCCAAGTGTCCCTAGAAAAGGTTCTCTTCCTCTCCATCAGTGGAGCCCAGGGAGGTGTCTTATGTTTTGTGAGCAGGAGTAACTGCCTGTGTAGCTCCAGGAAACTCAGTTCTCAGTGGTCTCACGAATCATCAGGAAGGAGCTGGGAGAGAACCAATGTGCTCATTCCACTGCCCCCACAACCAGCAGGGAGTCAGGGTTCCCCCATAACATGCACTGGTCTGCGGTGAGAGCCACACAGCCCCAGCCTTCAGACCCAGTTCTGCCCTCAGGGGTCTCTGCTCCCCGCAGCCCTGCAGCCCCCTCCCCGCTTCGCTGGGGCGGTGCCTGCGGGGCCACCTCCACAGCCAGAGCCATGTCTCATCTCCCCATCTGGCTTGGAGCGCCCCGTGGCATTGAGCCCTGAAAACAGCTTTCCAGTCCCGGGGAGATGTTGGAGGCCTGGATGCCTGAGCAGGAAGTGGAGCCAGGGAGGAGAGGGAAGACAGGAGGAGGAGGCCCAGGAGGAGGGAGGAGACCTTTAAAGGGCCGTCCTTCTCTGGGTCTAGCCCGGAGCTCCACATTTCGCCCCTGTGGAAGGAGAGAAGGGGCGCCGTGTCCCCTCCTTGAGCAGAGGCCCATGAGAAGCCCTAGCCTTGAGTTCTGAACCGAACTCAGAAAACCACAGGAGAGATGAATCCTTCCCTGAGATGTCCCCAGAGCACCTGGCCTCCTTGCTGGCTCACCGTAGGGACTGACTCCACAAATATTTGTGGAGAAAAACATCTGTGGAGAGAAAAGTTCCTAATAGAGGACAGTCTAAGGTTATTTCCTCCAAAAGGCGATGCCAAGGAACATGTGCAAGAGATAGTCCCGTGATATATCCCTCAGGAAAAAACTCCGCGGGGGCTGGGGGCTCCAAATAATAAAGTCTCTTAAAAAGGAGGCAAGAATTAAATAATTCAGGAAAACAAGATGGTCGAAAGTCTCCTTGTCACAGTGCACATAGACAGCCAAAGGCTCTGAGAAGTGCTGTAATAAAGAATCCTGCGTCACTGTGTTTCAACCAACAATAGCTGAACACACTTAGCCAGGAGTGCCTGCCTCCCCTCTTTGCTCACCCTCTCTTTCCCCCCTGCTCTCTCCGAGCATCACGCGGAATCTGTACTGAGGACTGGGGTGGACATGGTCCCGAGATACGTGGAGACTCGTGCAGGGTATGAGTGTCATTCTCGGGTGAGAGCAGTGACTGCACACTCTCAGCACCATTTCTGGGGCTTCCCATGCGAAGGCACTTGCAGGAGGCGGACCCTTGAGCCACGCAGATGGAGCCTTCCCAGAACAAGCCTCAGGGCTCTCCTTGAACTGATCTGCCCTCAGCTGAAGCAAAAGGATTTAATGTCTTTTCCCGGAGAGAAACTAACTCTTTTATACACACAAAGCGAGGATTGCGATCATCAAACAGTTTCCTCCAGGTCTAGAAGTTTCATGAGAAGGAAAGAAAACAAAAACACTTCAACCAAAAAACAAAGCAAAGAACAAACCCTGAGAACAGAACACACTTAATGAGATTGCTTAGCCCTTGGAGTTTCTGAATAATTCATGCCACCGCAGCTTTCTTTCCACTTTGTTTCTCAGGCTCCCCGGGGGTGGGAAGCCAGCCTTGTCATGGTCTCGTCCAAGCGGCCATCCTGCCTCTGCTCACAGGCCTCCTGGGACGGGTGCTCACTACCTCCCAGGCTGTGCCCTGAGTCAGTCATAGGTTCTGCCACTAGAATGGGCATTAGGTGACTCACGTGGCAGCGGCAGTGCGGTGCAGCAGCTGAGAACCTGAACCCTGGGTCAGACCGGCTAGTCAGAATCCCGGCTCCATCCTAGCTGTGTGCCAACGGGCAGCAAGCCATGCCTCTCTGAGCCTCAGTTTAGTCCCCTGCCAAATGGGGATGGTGACACATACTTACCCCCTAGGGCTGTTGACTGGTTTACTCTTCTTGTAGTCCAGGACCCTCCAGTCAATCCTAAAGCAAATCAACTCTGAATGTTCATGGAAGGACTGATGCTGAAGCTATAGCTCCAATACTTTGGCCACCTGATGCAAAGTGCCAGCTCATTGGAAAAGACCCTGATGCTGGGAAAGACTGAGGATGAGGTG